GGTTTCCCTCCTCGTCTGGTGAAACCCTTGCACGGGCCGACTTCAGCGATGAGCTGTGCCCAGAGGAGGGCCCCTGTAGCTCTTGTCAACTTTGCCCTGAACAGTGTGTTATTCACGTGGGTGCGAGCTTCAGCTGCAGGGAGGTCACACTCTTGTGAAACCAGAAGTCGCGTTTTCCCAATATGCGTTCACCATAATTGGTGCTCGGGCTATATTCTAAAGCCTGTTGTCTTAACATCTTGTATAAGTAAGGGAAGAAATGGTTTCCGGTCAGAGAAGTGGCTTGACAGTCGTTTGGGCTTCAAAAGCAGTCACTGTGGCTTGGCGTGGGTGCCTGCTGGTCGTCACAGCGTCAGCCCCAGTGTGCTCTCTGGTCTCACTGGTGTCCCCTCAGTCCTGTGCTACCAGGGAGTCCATTCTGCATTTCACAGAGACATGCCAGACCTTTCTCCTGCTGCGTGTCGGTGACGGATCCTCGCTGCCTTGCTTCACACTGATCTGTGTGAAATCTGAAAGGCTTCTGGTGGTCTCCGGTGTGAGTGCATAGTCACCTTCATAGCTTCCGGTGTGTTTACAAAGCAGCTCGTGTTGAAACAGAGTGAAGACAATCCTTCCCTAGCGCACTGGTAGGAGAGACGTCTTCAGACCTTCTGAGCCAGCAGGCGGTGTGGTGGCCGACCATGGTGTGAGTCCGACTCAGTGGCTTCAAGATCATGCCAGCTGTGTGAGTGTGCTCAAAATCCCTGGAGGGAAATGGGGGGAAGAAGACGGTGTGACTGCCCCCCCTTGGGGGTACTTTCTCACTTTCCCTCTATCTGTCACTGTCTTTCTCAGTGAGTGCACATGCCCTATGGGGAAAACCTTTAAAAAAAAAAAAAAAACACTAAAAACCCAGACCTCAGTATGAGGTTGCCGTGCAGGAGTGTGCTCGGGCCCTCACTGGGACCGGTGCTGGGACTGTCCCGCCAGCTGGTGTAACCAGCAGGTACCCACCAGCACGGCAGAATGTGGCCCCACTGCTGGCAGATCAGGAGAGCGGCATGGCAGAGCGACACAGGCTTATTCTTCTCTAAAAAGAAGCAAAAAACAAAACAAAAGCCACACCCACCGCCCTGTAGCACTCGGGGTAAGCATGTCGGCTGAGTACCCCAGCACACGTAGGGGCCCATCTGAGTACCCCAGCACACGTGGGGGCTCATCTGAGTACCCCAGCACACATGGGGGCCCATCGCGGGTTAGGCAGAAACAGTCCATCGGGAAGGTGAGAGGGAGCGGGAGGAAGCTGCTGACTCAGCGGGTTGGGAGCCCAGGGACCCAGCCGAGCTTCTGGACCCAGAGCCATTGCTGGAGCTCTAGACCTCGCCGAAGCACGGGGACAGTCAGACTCCCCGAGGCGGCCCTTGCTCCTCGGAGATGATGACCATAGTACCATCCTGGAAATGTCGAGAAGCTCAGTCCCCTCCATGGTTTCCAGCTTCTTCAGGCCTAGCCCAAATGACGGTGAAGAACCCCAAGTTGCTGGCAGCCCTCCAGGGTGGTGTGGAGCCCACAGTGGGTTCACATCTGGTCTAGGAGACTAGCTCAAGACAGATTTTCCTTCTATGTGGGGATTTCAAAATGTTCGTGGAAAACATAGAATTAAAGTATGAGTTTATTTTTGGTGTAATAGTTTGACCTCCATGCAGTGTTTTCATAATCTGCATCTTCCAGGAACTTTTGGAAGACCACCCCCCACGTGCCTGTCCCTCATTTGTACAACTGTCCCACGACTTAGATGTCCATTACACAGCCCTGGCTTATTGCAGTCCAATTGCAGACAGAGAGGAAAAACTGTCCCCGTGTCCCAGGGCTGCCTGGAAGCGTCCAGTTCGGGCCTTCCCTGGTGTACGGCAGGGTGGTGGTGGTGGTGGTCGTGGCCGTCTGTGGTGGTACCGAGCTCTCCTGGGAGCAGCCTGGGAGGTCAGAGTGCACTGAGGGGAACGCCCCAGTGCAGCCGTTCTCGATGGAGTGAGCGTCTAAAGCCCCCTTTGCATGTCCCCTGGTTTCCCATGGCCGCCAGTCGCCACCTCACTAATTGCTGGCCTCTCACCATCCTGTCACCCTGAGAGCTTGCATTGCAGATTTACCCTCTTTTCAGGAAGAGAAAACTAAGTGTTGAAAGATTGAGCAATCCAAGCAAGGGGTTTTAAAGTAAAGATGTATATGTTCTGAAGAATTGAAAAGATAACAGATTAGTATTTCCTTTTCAAAAGAACATGTATAGTCTGGGAATCCCAGAACATCAAGCCAAAGGTCTAAGCAGTCATCTTCAAGGACTTCAGTAGAGAAGTATTTCAGGAGACATCTGTCCAGAAAGGTTGGACTGGCCTCCAGATTGCAGTCGTTTTCATAAAGCGTTTCCCACTCAGCCCCGAGGCTCCCAGAGTACAAGTAAGGGACTAGCGTGCAGGTTCTTCCCTCCCGGGGCCTCTCTGGGAGGCCGCAGGGACGGCAGCCCTCCACCGCGAAGACCCCGCCCGCCCTTGCCCCAGTGCCCGAACTCGCGTCCTGCAGACTGGACATTGCACTTTCGTAGTTTTGTCCCAATGCATTCCCCTTTCTGTGCCTCAGAGCATGCAGTTAGATTTGGGCAAACGAGATTCCTAAGGAATGACTTTATTAACTGTATTATGGTTACAGCTATTACATAAATATCTATTCTGGTTAGAGTTCTAACATGAAGATATCGGTGCGATGCCAGCCTGTGTTGGTCTGTACGATGCTTTCGCTCCTCGGAGGAGGCCGGGCTTGGAGCTGAGGCGGCCCGAACCTGGCCTGTGTCAATTCTTCACTTTAGAACCACAGGGGGCCACTGTCTCCCCGTCTGCCTCTTTGTGGCACCTAAGATACACTCCAAAAAGTTTTTCCTAGTCACGTCGCTGACTGCTGCTCTCTGTCCGTGAGTAATTTTCACATGGACACATCCAAATTTGAACTCAGAAGCCGCCGCCAGTCCAGATACAGGGGCAGGCGCAGCTCCCAGCCACAGCCTCCGCCTCCGCCGGGTCTTCCCAGCCTCTGGGGTCGGGTCCAGGCCTTGCTTTTACGCCTCAGAGGTCGCAGGGGACTCTGTGTCGCCTCCAGCAAGTGCGTGTTTGCCATTCGATGCCCGTGTGTCGCGTGCCAGCAAGTCAGCGCCCGCTGCACACCTGCGGCGCCGTGTCCCGGGGCTTGTGTGCGCGTGAGCCGCCCGTCACCGGCGGGCGAGCGCCGCGTCCACTGCCGCTTTCAGGATCGAGTTGTGTGGACGAGTCACCTACGTGAGTTTTATATGCACAGTTACTCCCCTTTTTATATGTCAGGTAAATATTTGTAAAAGTTATACTCACACAAATTATTATAAGGATTATTATAAGGATTACTAATATATTTTTTCCATGTTTCATTGCCTGAATAAAAACTGTTTACCACTGTAAGATCCAGATGTGTGTGCCGTGTGTGTCGTTGGGCTTGTCCTGGTCGTTAGGTTTCATCCCTGAGTGTGGACATTGATGGCAGACTCACTTTTATGAGCTCCACGTTCCAGTCTAAAAGTAGAAAAGATGACGTTTGCTCGACACTCATTTTGTGGGTTTTATGCATTCAGTTGACTGTGTAATTAAAAACAAAACAAACACGCTTTGCAATTCAGACTTCG